CTGATGTAAAAGCTGCAAATAAACCCCAAATCTTCATCCAGCAAACCTCTCGCCTTTGAGTGGAAAATCCCTGCTCCATATAAGATGCTTGTGACCTAGCCAGAAACCCAGGGAGATTTGCCTCGTCAGTGACGCTTTGGTGACAACACTGTGTGGTTGTGTCTGATCAACATTTTCTTGTAAACCTAGTGAAGGTTTTGTCAGAAATCTCATTGTTTACAGATGTGGTATAAGTGTGTATTTATCTAAGTTTTATTTGTCACTAAACCACAATGATTCAAAGACTGGACACCGTCTGACATCTTCAAGTTAAATATTCATAGAAAAGATGGAAGGAGGAACTATCAGTTCTGGCCAAAACCATTTTTGGCACCAGGCTGTAAATGGGCTTTTTAATTTAGGGTTTAACATGGGAGTCTTTTAGGGATTGATTCACTTTTGGAGCCTGCCACTACAAGACAAACAATTTTTGGATTCCTGTGATGGATTCATTTTCAGCACCAAAGCTGGATGAAGATGAGAGACATATTTTAAAGCTCTGCACCCATGTGCAAGATTTTTATCAAGCCACCTTTATTAGTCCATAAATTATCCAAGTTCAGATAATTTTCTGCTCATCTTATCGCGACATACTTTCCTTTTTGCCAGCTCAGACCAAGCAACTGTAGCATTTAGAAGAAGAAGTAGCATTTTCATAGTTGTGTATTTGCAGACTGATGCGCTCACCTCATGTGGACAGCTCTCACAGGGTTGGAAATGGCAGAGCCCTCTAGAGAGCTGCTCAGGTCCAGACTCACAGCAGTCATCCACCCCATCAGCAATTGCCTTGTTCACATTGTCCATGGGGAAGGCGCACAGGGCAGAGTCATGCTCTGTGACTCCGTTGTCGTCGGTGACAGCAAAAACACCATACAGGATGTCATCCTCCTCCTCCGCTCCTAACTCCTCTGCCAGCTCCCTGCCTGCTTTGCCAAAATGGGCTGCTTGGACCACGTTGTACACAATATCCTTATAAGGTTCACTGGCTACGTTCCTCCTCCTGCGCTTTGGTTCAAAGCGACACTCCAAGATCAACTCGCGATACCGCTTCATTTCCCATTCGTTCCTCGGGAGACGTCCCAGACGAGTCTGAAAAGGCGACGATTCCTGATCTGGGCTCTCTCTCTGGACTGAAAGGAAGTACACAAACTCCTGAGTGAAGAAGCTGTAGACATATTCAATATGGTACGTCTTTCGCAGGCTGGGAAGGACAGTCAGACCACGCACATCACTGAAGAAACCATCTTCTGTGGCCAGTGGTCGACGAACTGATAAAGACTTCCTGCCGTAACGCTGAGTGACACTGTCATTAACACTGGCCGCGACAAAGAAATAGACAGTCTGACCCTCCTCCACCATTGTGACTTTCGTACCAAGAGGGCTAGCCACACAGTCAGGACAGTTAGCAGCAGAGTTTGAGCCCTTTCTGAACAAACACTTTGAAAGAGAGGGTGGCTCTCCATTTGGGTTCAGCTGGTGGAAATAGCATACGCCGTACTGAGAACTTCCACAAGAATATAAATACATAAAGAGTGTATCCAACAGCAACACCTGATTGTCTGTGTCCTCTGGAAAGTTGTGATTCTTGTCAATCTCACACAAATTGCATATGTGACACTCTGAGCCCCCCACTGGCCCAGTGCGGAGCTCCCACACCTTCTCCAGGCTTCTGTTGACAGCTTCGATCACATTCTTAGAGGCCACGTACACTTCTTGGTAAAATGAGTTGTTGACTATGTTTTGGATGGGACCCCCAGCTTGGAAGAAAGGCATTGTGTACACAACAGAGAAGTTGACAGGGCTGGGGGCCAATGACGCACAGTTGGCCAGGGCAAAGGCCAGCACAGTCTGGAACCAGACGCATGCCCACCACTGTCCGGCCCAGTGGACCATCTCCAGTCCGGGTTCCAGGGGCCCAAAGGCACAGGCGATGTGTTGCTACCTCCAGGTCTGCTGCTGAGTCAAAACCATCCTTAAACCACCCAGTGACACCTGATAAAACAAAAAGAGTAAAATAACTCATTAAACTGATAAGAAATCATGAGCTGCAACTCAAGAATGACTAAAGCTTTGATATTTCCTTGCTTGAGAGTTAAATAACAAAGATGCCATTTTAATGAGCTAGATGATCCAGGAAGGCTTTGCATAAAGATGTGAAAGAGAAAAGGGGATCTTGGCTGACTTGACTGCTTTCTCCTGCTTTAAGCTAAATGTCCTCTAGGACCAACATTATACTGAACGGACATGTATAAGTATTAGACAGATCTTCTCATCTAGCTCAGGCCAAGAAATCAAGTGAGCATATAACTAGCAGTACTTACATTACCTTCATTCAAGGCTTTTAAATGCATATCGCCTATTTCTTATCTAAGGTTCCTTTGGCAGGAATGGATTTTGTTTAAAGAACCACCTTTTGAACAAACAAAGAGCCACAATCCCGTTTGTATGAAGAGGTAAAAGCTGACAGAAGTGAGATGTGTCTGAAACCTGTTTACTAAAACTGCTGTAAGACCATAAAATGATAAGCAGTAGCCTGTTGTTTCATGTTGTCATGATAAATCATGCCTCCTATGGGATTTGCTACTAATGAAAGTGAAAATCAATATAACAGTATTTTATTATGTTTTGCGTGGAACCCTAAAAGACCCGAGGTAACAATCATGATCACCATCTTGTCTGGTCCTGATAATAAAAGCACATGTGGTCATAAAAATAAAAGCTTTCTCTGACTCACCACAGACACTGACAGGAAATGTTTAGATCATCAGACACAGAGTTGTGGTGGTAGAAGATGTGGATGTAACTATTTTTACTGGGGCTTTGTACATAAGCCATTCATATCTGTCTGGTCATGTTTACTCTGGTTAATCACAGGCAGAGTTTTTCAAATGAATCATCTTCTTTTATGCAAGGGAGTTGGTGGTAACAAGCCAAGATAATGACTTTTGCTCAACATGAACCAACCAAATTTAGCAAATCTACATTTTTCCATTGCTCATCCAGCCCAAGCTCTACGTAGCGTCCGAGCCCTGTCTTCATCGTGAACATACATAAGTGGGTGGATCATTAACTGGACATACGGCATGACTGTTTTCTGGCCTGGCCTCTCAATTATGCATTCCTGTTAGAACCACTACGTGCCTTTCAGGGGGAAAAGATGGCCATGGACTGATGGTCGTCAGACATTGTGTAGCCTTTAAAACTACCAGGTGAGGGCAAAACTGCTCTTCGGCTCGTGTCAGAGAATTTAATCCATTTTGAACATTATATTTAACAGCGTCAGAAACGGCAGTGTGAGCCAACTGATTTTAAGCACAAAGCACTTGTTTTTGCTAAAAGCAGTCGTATGGAAAAGTTCAGAGTCTCAGGTCTTTGCATCAATAATTCATTGAACCCCGCTGATGCTGTTGTTACATTTTAACATTTGCAGCTCCTTGTAAAGCTGAGGTTAAGGTCTGGGGACATGAGTACACATAGTAATGGCACTGATTGACTTTCTCCGGGTTCATGGTTAATAAAGCAAACGGCTGAAACAGAGTTTCCATTCGCTTTGCTATTTTCAGGCCAATCAAGGCTTCATCAGTGAACCGGCATGAGTTGCCAGTAAAGCACCTTGCTCACTGGCACTTCGGCATCCTAATGAAGAGTAGAAGATCGAAGACCTCTCTTAAAATAATCAATGCACAGATATCCAGGGGGATTTGCAGAGTTGAGCTGCTGTTCGAACAATCAATAGTGAACACATATTGAACCTGAAGGACTCATTGACTGAGTAGAAGGAAATAAATTCCAAGGCAATACAGATTCACTAGAAATATCCAGTTTAAGGAGAAACTGCGTCTACATTTCTTTGTTTTGAAAATATCTTTATTTCTACTGTGTGATTTTATACAAACAAGTGAGATTAGAAATCAGTCCAACTATGAGTATGTTAACACAGAACAGCATAATTTCTTTTCGCCCTGAGCTCATCTGCCCTCTGCAGTTGATCGCTTGTATTTATGGGTTTGTTGTTGTTGTTGGGTTGGTGAAGTTTCTCCTTTTACTTTGTCTCCATATTCGGTCACAATCTGCCTTTACTTCTTTGAATCACTCCAGTGTAACAGAGTGCACACTGGCTCCAGTCCACAGGTTAAAGATGTTATTTTCATTCCAAAACCCGAGTTTAGATAACGCAACACTGAGTTTATATTTCACAACCCCCACAATAAATATTAATCGCAAATAGCTTGCTTTTTATAAACAATTATAAATGGATGACACCGGAAACCCTTCCTTGCATTATAAGTGCTGTGAGAGATAATATAAAGAATGCCGGTGCTGTAAGTCAAACTTTGGATCATAAACACAAGCTATTCTTTTTAAAGTCCTCTTCTAGCATTGCCTGTGCTCTGAAGGCTAGTTGGTTTCTGTTTTGTATCTAAACATCAGAGCAGACGCTGCTGAAGGAAAGAAGGAAAGATGAAAAGCTTACCTGTGCAGGTCAGTCACAGTCTTGAGGGAAGCAGCCACTGCCAGCTCTGCGCCTACTGTAAAACAGCGCGCGGGGGAAGGCGGGTTTTTCCTCAGGTAGAGTTAATATCACACGATTAGCTTAACACACAAACATATATATATATATTTTTAAATATAAGCCCTTCTGTATTCGTTAGCGCCCGCTTCGTATTTAACTCCCGGTTTGAATCGGTCCTCGCTCCTCCCCTCACAGCTCCACACTGACACACACCAGCAGCACGAACAGAAGCCAATTAGCCCAGCGTCTATAGGTGGCCTCAGTCACTTTTTAATGCCATAAACGTTTCCTCCTTATCCCCCCCACCACTGCCCTGCCTGTTTCACAGCACCATAAAACTTACTCCTTTTGTTGTGCAAGTGTGCTCCGCGTTTGTGAGACGGAAGTGCTGCTGCTACTGCCATCTACGAAGTGCCTACAGTGTGAGGGGAAAAGAATGACACATCAGTTTGCAGGTCGTTTCTTTATTTACATATAATTTTGCAATTATGGGACTGCCATAAAGCATTACATATTTGTTTTGCACAATAACAGTTAAGGCATGATGTGACAAATGTGACAAGGCTAGATTCCTCAAGCATAGCAGGTTTCTAGGAAACAAAGCTTTAAGAGGCATGCAGAAATATATCATCTGTTAATGTGAGTATTATGGGTGAAAAGAAAGAGATGAACTGGAAAAATAATGGAGTTCATGTGGAATTCCTCTACAGTGGTGTTAAGAGAATACGTGTTATTACAAACTACTGACAGCAGTAAACAGGTCACAGGCTTTCTGTTTCAGTGTCCGTTACATAAACAAAGAGTGCATAGAGGTAAAAGTGTGATGCTCCCAACAGGAATGCTGTTAACCCATATTTTGCCAACATGTCTTCTAATTTGAAAATACATTCTACCGCAGTTCGAGGAATTTCCAGTTTATTCTTCATTTCTAAGAACTGAGTTAATACCATAAAAGACATTTTTTTAAGTTGTGAGATGCACAATAGCCGTTACAGTAAAACCATTCTTCCATGAAAGATCTTTAACAACAGGTAAACACTGCAAGTTTCTGTGTTACCAAAAGTGCGGAGGCTTCTATCTGCTCTTCATTTTTTTTAAATTAAAAGTTATAAAAAAATTTCGCCAGCTAAAATACAGCGTTAATTCAATTGCACAGCACACTTCATTACAAATCAGAGAATTAGAACAGAGCATTCCAAAAGTCAAAAAAAAAGAAAATGCATAGGATTTGACAATCATCATACTCTTAAAGACTACTGCTTCATCATGCGTAGCTGCTGTTAGCACCACTCCAGTCTGTTTTCACAATACTGCTTTACGTTTCAGGAGGCTCAGTATGTGAGAGGACTGAGGATGAAGAGGCGATCCTCCTCCTTCCTGATCCACTTCAGCAGTTTATTGACAGCGGCGAACGCTGAGGCCTTGGTCGCCAGCGGACTAAAGCAGAGGTAAAGCTCAAAGCCACTTGTCACCTGCAAAGGAGAGAAGGCACAACGAGACAAACGGGGCATGAAAAAGCTGTGTGTAGTAGAAGGATATTTTTCTGTTAAAGAAGTTCAGCAATGTGGTTCAATGTAAGAAATTGTTACAGTCTGCAAAATTACTGTAGCTACTGCATTTCAGATCAATGATGAGTGATTAAAGCTTAATGTCTGATGTCTTTAGTCAAAACAAACTCTGTACTTGACGGCAGGAGGCTAAAATCTTGCTTATTATGAGTAATATTCATTTTTGCACATTACTGTTAATGTTGTGCAATTATCATTAATGGCACATTTAATCAAAAATTTGTGTTATATGCACATTGAAAATGTTAAAAAAAAAAAACTAATTATGTAATGACAGTATATTTTTGTAACAATATTTGTAAAGCATTGCACCACATTTAGAATGATGACCCTTTTTCAATACGTTTCTTTAAGATATATATTTAACCACACAACATGCGGTTAGAAAGGGGAAAAAAAAAAAAAAAAAAAGAGTGGTCAACAACTTTCCAGAAGTGTCAATGTGGACATTACTTTTATTGTTATTTTATGTGTATGTGATGGTAATGTGCAAGGGTCTGCAAAAGCACAAAGCTGCTAACACAAAGCTGGTAATGAAGGACAAAGGTTATTCCAGTAAGCTATAATTAAACTCGTTGTGGGAATAAAAAACAAAAACAAAAAAAAAACCCACTAACACACTAATTAAAATAGAAATTAAAAAACATAAGCAGTATCTTCTTTGGGCTGGGGGATGCAGCATTTTCCAAAAAGAATTATTTATGGATCATGTTCACACGTGGCTTTTTTACTGTATGATAGAGCTTCAACCTGCATTTGTGCATGGCACAGTGAACTGGGTTCACAGACAGTGACTGGAAGTGTTCCTGAGCCCATGCAGAGATTTCCATGACAGAATAATTGCTGTTAACGGCAGCCAATGCTGATTTTTGGCCTTGTCCTTTGCCCACTAAGATTTGCGTTTTGATCATATTAGGTACTGTAGATGATGAGAAACTCAAAGTCTTCACATTTTTATATTGAAGAATATTATTCTGAAAATTTCCAAGAATTTGTAGACATTTTTTCTCTCTAAGATGCTCTTTTTATACGCAGTCATGTTACTGACCTGTTGCCAGTTAACCTATTTGATTGCAAAATGTTAATCCAGCTGTTGATAATACTGCATTGTGAATGGAAAAACTGATGTAAAGTTTATGCCAGCAATCAAAATTATTTATGACTTTATTAAATGGACTATTGACCCTAATAAGGCAAATAGTTACCCCCCCCCCAAAAAAAAAAAGAAAAAACAAAACAAAAACAAAAAAATCAGTAAGCTAACTAAATGTGTATGAACAATGTCAACAATCCAGTGTCCAGTATTCATTTTGTACACACCAAATGCTTTAAATGGCTGTCAGCTTAAAAATAATTGTTCAAAAACAATAAACCATTTTAATCACAACACCAGACTCACCTGTGCCAGCAAGTTTTCAGTTTCCCTGCAGCGGTAGTAGTAACGGAGAGGTCTGGTTGGATGGTGCAAGCAGCTGTGAAGTTCCTGGTACAAGCTCAGCAGCCTTTCCTGCTCTCCATCAGACTGGTACACCATCGGAAACTCGGGGCTGAAGGTGGAAAATATCCAAGAACAAGGATTTGTGTTCATGACAAAAAAATATATACATATAAGAATGCAAATCTTTGTATACTGATGATCATTTTACTGGCCCAGATAAAATCAAGTGTCATCTGCTCTCATGAAGTTGTCATTTATGTAAATTTTTCGTAATACCGAAAACATCTGAGTAGATGTGTTTATACAGTGAAAGGAAAAAGTTCTTGAATTAACAGGATTAATGACTGTTAAAATACTCTGATCGTTATCTAAAAACCCCTAAATTTGACAAACACAGTCTAACCACTCACCTGGTGTACAGTCCGGAGCTCTTTGATTTATACAGGAAGTGCCTGAGCTCTGGGATGCCAACCTGCACCACGGAGTAACTGGGACATTTCACCGCCTCCTTCAGGGCCTGGTAGGCACTACGCTTGCTCAGCCTTTCCATAAACTTCTGCTTGCAGTCGGACATGTTAAAGAAGTCCTCTCTTTCAGTTGAGACCAGAATGAGACAGAGCTGGGACGCAGGCTCCAGGTAAGAAATGTGAGCGTGGAAAAATCCTGCGGTGTTGAACTTTGGCAGACAGATCGGCGTCCAGCCTTCACCTTCTCGGAAGGAAGAGGAGGAACCGACGAGGTTGAAGACCAGGTGCAAGTCTATGTGGTGGAGGAACTGGTCCTTCTTCCTGACCAGGGTGACCAGGCGATCGCCGGCCAGCAATATGGAGAACACCAGGTTTTTGGATTTAGCGGCCTGTAGGCTCGATGACACTACGTCCCTGGCAGAGCTGGGGAGGGGCAGGCAAGTGACGGCACTGAGCAGCAGGCCGGGGTCTCGTTCCAGCCGGATCAACAGGTTGTCAGTGAGATACTCTGAGCCGGCCAGCAAACGCCGCAAGTCGTAGTTCTGCTTGTGCTGGAAGATGTGGTTGAGCTGGGTGAGGGTGAGCAGGCTGACTATCTGGTAGTAGATGTATTGCAGCTCCCGCAGCATCTCCTTGTCTGATTGACAGGTGCGTGACACTCCCACCAGGACCAGAGGACTCTTGGTGAGGAAAACCACTTTACAGCCATCTGACACAAACATATTAACAGCACTTCCATTAAGATACGACATATTTGTTTAGAGAATTAAATGTTGCTGCCAAAGTATAATCTGACCTGCATGGATGGAGCGGATGATGTTCTTCTCAGCCTCGACAAACGACACGAGAGCCATCATCACCCCCATGGTGCTCGACAGCGCCTCTTCCGTGCCGTAGCGAGTATAGATTGGTTTCCCCGCCTCACTCAGCACAAACACGTGTTTTTTGTGGCTCCGCCACGCCTCACTGGACACATCCTCCTCCTTAGTCCTGCTATCCGACAGGTCATTGCTGTGTTGTTCATCTATATTTTGTTCAGCAACAAGTGCCTTGAGCCCCTCTTCATGCTGCTCTTCTGATTTGCCTGAATCAGCTGTCCTCAGGGCTTCTTCTTCAGCTTCAGCAGTTAAATCCTCAAACGAGTGTGCATGGATGAACATGGCACTCTTCTGGCCAGCACCTGTATTAATATAAATGATGACAAACTTTGTCCGTAAAAGATTTAAAAAATATATAAAAAAAAAAAAAAAAAGCTAGAAAAGCTCTATATAAATATGAGCGCAGTACATCACATGGCAGACATTTCTGGACAGTTCCTTTGGAAAAAAAACTCCAGGAAGTTTGAATGCTACTTTCTAAAAGGACATGTGGCCAATGACCACATATACAACTGCCAAAGTAACCAAGTCCTCTTTTAGTGTTTTCTCAGTTTGCAGCATTTATAGCAGTTTTCATAATCAAACATTTTTCCCATGTAGAAAAAAATAAATAAAAATAGTGGACTGTTAGTATCAGGCTCATTCTCACTACTGAAAATCATGTGTTTGGTTAAGGGATGGGGTAAGGGTGGAGCATGAAGGAGACACAGACATGACCCCTCTTTGCTCAGCGTAAATTCTTCATACTCTTACCTGCCAAACAATCAAACACACAGATTTTTTTTATGCTTGGAAGCAGGCCTCGTGTTTAATGTGCCCGTTAAATTTGCATTCACACATACAGCCAGGTAATGTAGAAATGCTGCTTAGCTCAAGGCAGATTCAACACAATGGAAAGTGGAGATGTATACATAATTTAAAAGATTTTCAGTTTGTGTTTCTACAAGAGGAAAAAAACAACTTCAACGAAAAAAAAAAAAAAGTGGCTGGTTTGGAAAATGTGTTAAATTCCCCAACTTTGCTGGAGAACAAAACTGGGCATTCCTGTGGGAACCAACTAGCTGGAAAAGGCATCCAAGACAGATGACAGATGAATTATGTACAGTTACAGGACAAGACTTGATTCTTTTATTTGAAAAACTGATTAATTTTGAACATGGTATGCAACTCTAGAACAATCCACAAAAAACAGAAGTTCAATTTAGTCTATTATCGTATTAGTCACACATGTTTTAACTTTAGGTTATCACACTTCAGAGCTGCTGCAGTGAATAAAATGAACAACCTCTGGCCAAAGCTTATCTAATTAGAAGAACAAGAATAAGGCAACTGTGATAGCGAAACAGTACGCTAAGACTTCAAAATGTCCTGTTTAGCTCCAGTTTGAGAAGAGCAAATCCATACAGTGTTACATCATCTCTCCTGTCATTGTTGGATTTATTCAAAGCAGGATGTGATGCAGCAGATGAAAGCAGCTGCAGCCAACTTTCACTGTGACAAACTGACAAATTTTCCCCAGATTTTTTTTGCAGTCAACAGATGGTCATATCATTAAATTCTCATGAGAAAACATGGCAGCATTTGAAGGGAATATTGTGCAACTGTAACACAAGCTCTAAAACAGCAGACAACCTGTAAAGATATTCACCATTTCTTACATAGACAGGATGTGCATATTCATGCTGTCTCTCACACACAGAGTACTCAGTATGCGTTCACCGGACACTGCACAGCTACAACAATGTGAAACAGAGAAGTCCAATTCATGGGAAAGTTTTCAGAAGTGTCAGCACTGAAAGAGTGTTAATGTCTTTTCTTTGTGCTACAATCATAAAAAAGACAATATTCCAGGCAAAGATACTGCAGGGATTTTGTACTTGAAATAGAAAACAGTTGATGATTACTTGGCCCTGCCCTGCCTTGATATTTGTCTAGCCCAACTAGAAGCTTTTATGGTCTACTGTAAGCGTTGTGATCACTGATCATGTCCTGCATTGTTTCGCAATACAATCCTATGAGGGATTGGCCACAAAGTAGCGTGGCACAATTCTATTCACCCACGACTTCTTTAAGACACCTAGACTTACCTGCAGTCTTTGAAATGAGAGCGCAGTCAGTGGTGTAAGGCCACTGATAGTGGCTAAGTGAACTACCTGGAAAATATTTCTTGCGTTAACATTACCTTAGACTGGAACAAATGCAAGAGGAAGTTCACACATACTACACCTTCATATTTGACGTTTTTTCACTACTATGCAGTGGTTCCAGTTTTGCAGATGTATGTTAAATATGTTTAAAATCATACTTGTCTCTGTGTGTTTACAGACAAGCGGCACAACACTTACCTGGTTCAGTTCCCTCTACCAGACCAGGTATGGGGCTGTCCGCCCTGACTGAGCGAAGGCGGTCTACAGGAGCCAGAGTTCCACTTTCCCATGATGCAGTCGCCTTTTGGGCTTCACCTTCCATCACTGCTACTTAAGGCTAGGACACGCACCTGGAAAGATAGACAGACAAAGGGCTATAGGACCAAAGGGCAACAACTTCGTGACTGAGTCTTGGATTTATGGTGGTGTGCCATTACAGTGACATGACACGGTCACCACGAGTCGGTTCAACTGAAATCAAATAAAGCCCTACAGTTAGGTAGTGAAGATTAACTGTTTATTGGAAGCGGGGGAAAACAGCTAAACCGGAATGTCCTCCTTGCTCCAAGGAAGGCTGAAACCAACTATGGAAACAAAATGAGTCTCGAAAGAATAACATATTCACACGCAGTATATTTACATTCACATCTTTTTTTCTTGCTTAGCATCCTGAATTATCACAGGCGTCACGTATGTTTGACTTCAAAAGCTACTTTGATTGCTGACTTTAGCATGTAGTCAAACAAACGCTATCTCAGACACGTTTAATCGCCTTCGCTCTCAACCAGAGCACTCAAGACCCCTTCAAATACTTCAAAAAGATTACCTTTCATTTCCACAGCTGTCTGCATCTGAATGTTATGCTCCCCAACTCGTTTGCCACAGTTGCTGCTAGCTAACTAGCAGAAACCGCACAGAAGAACTTCTTGAATCATGCCCTGGTTGGTTGCGGAAGTGCGAATTGTGGGATATGAAGTTCCCTGCCAGAGGGTTTATACACTTTTTATCACTCGTTTCCCAGGAGTAATAAAAATGCCGAGTTCATCTGAATAAAATAAAATACGGAGAATTGTCTTTGAAATAGTTAAGAATTAATTTAATGGGTTAATTTTGAATATTACAGCATGCAAGTTACATATAACACACTGCCATCTTTGATCTTGCTGGTGCTTTCAGGTCACGCAGGACATGAAACAACTGTGCCTGATTATTAAATTGCACGATTGTCACGAGACTCAGATACTTAATTTGTCAGACAGAAAACATTGTATATCAAATGTTAAATAATCTTTTTGTGTGAGAAAGATTTGTGAATATATTTGCGAGCTATTTCAATGTGTTTAAAATAACATTTTGTTGTTTTCACTGTGACTCTGCATATGTGAGGGATAAAAGCAAAAAAAAAAAACAAGGGAAAAAAGTGTTGACACATTTGTTGAGTGACACTAAATTGTAACTTCTCCAGGGAAAACGTATTCATTGTTTTAAATATCAAAAGTTTATAGCGACTGAGCTAAATTTTAATACAAAATACGTTGGCGTAGATTCTAACAGCTCATTTATGTTCCGTGTGCATACGAACGCACCGTAAGGGGCGGAGCTTTGGTTTGAACGTGCAGCGGGGAACTGGCCAGCGATGGCGTTACCATTGTGTTTGTGTTAGCTTGAAAGGAAATTTCCTAAATTATCTCACTTTATGTGTGTACAATGAAAATTTTCATGTACAGTTGGTGATGCTTCAGTTTATAACGAAGGATTCTGCAGTAACTTGATATCTTTGTTTGGTAAGCATGACAGCTCACGATAAGGCTACGGCTAACATTGGTTATCTACATGTAGCTGCTTAACCAGGGTAGCGGAATAGTAAGGCCCACTGACTTTAGCCAGTGCTAACTGTTTTAGCCTACAAATATTATGTAACACTACCGAAACGCGTATGATCAGGGAGTGAATATCACGATTTGTATTTCACTGTTTTTAACAATGTCGTACGCTGTTTCCAAAACAGGGTGATCGTTGTGCCGGTAAGATGCCTATTCGAGCATATTGCACTATTTGCTCAGATTTCTTTGATCACTCCAGAGATGTTGCTGCCATTCACTGCGGACACACTTTCCATTATGAATGGTAACTATACACAAACTCAAATCTGAACAAAACAACTTTTTTCAGTTCATGGCATCTTTGAAGTTATTTTCGTTCCCCTCTTTTTCTTCTAGTCTTCTTCAGTGGTTTCAGACAGCCCCTACAAAAACCTGTCCACAGTGTAGGAAACAGGTACAGTAACGCTACATTGTCAAACTACCAGCACAGACCGTGGCAAGTTGAGTTACAAAGGAAAGATTGAGCTTCAATGACATTTTGATGTTTGTGTGTAGGTCAGCACCAGGCACATTATCAGCAAGCTCTTCTTTGACATTGGTGGAGAGGAGGACAGCACAGCTGACCCGGAAAGCTTACAGGTACCAATCCTACAGCAATATAATACTCTTCACGCCTTCTGGCATGTAAAACAGAACCTAAATGTGGTCTTTCCTATTGCTATTGTTTGGATTTGTTTTAGGGTGTTATCTTCTGACTGTATTTCTTCTCTTTTTTGCAGAATGAGGTTGATAGAGTCAAGGCACTTCTGAGCTCTAAAGGTGAGAAATTAAACTCTTGAGTACAACTGTTACAAAGTTATGCTAGATTGTAAGGAAGCAGGCAGCGCTAGATTGATCATCTGTCTGGTCAATTTGTAGAGCGAGACTTGCGGGACAAACAGAAGGTGGTGGAGAGTTTAAAGGACTCCATGGACAAGCAGAGGCGAGACCTAGACAGTTTGCGGAAGGAGATTAAAGAAAAGGAGATGCTTTGTTCTGCCCTCAAAGTATGAGCTCTCTGTTCTTCATTGTTGAAAAGCTGCAATATCCACACTGATTCACAGTCACTGCAACTAATATTATGTTCTAACGTCTCACAGACACAGATGTCATATATGGAGACGCAACAAAATGAAGTTCAGGCTGCCAAGGAAGAAGTCCGGAGCTTAAGGACCAAGTTGAGAACATTTGAAAGGTATCTGCAGCCCATTGTATTATATTCAAGCTCCTGTGATTGTAGAGGAAAAGATAAGGATTGTTTAAGATGATCTTTGACAAGTGCGCAAACTTATACCAGTGCATTTGGGCAACTGCAACCTGACTCTTACACTACAGCTATAATGATATGAAATATGTGCATATGGTCCAGTGATTGTCTTCGTTGTTAAAGAGCATCATATTCACTCTGTGCATTGTTTTCTCCTCAGCTTGGATGTGTTGTTACAGGGCCAGAGAGCAGAGGTTGAGTCCATGATCACAGATATGGGTATCAGCCAGGCAGCAGTGGAGCAGCTCTCAATCTACTGCATCTCTCTGAAAAAGTAAGTATATGGAGATTATTACTAAATCGGCCGAGTACCATCTTAAAAATATTGGAAAAATTGTGGCAAAGAAAGATTTTGAAAAGCTTATTTGTGCATTTATTTTCAGTAGACTAAAGTATCTTAATGGAGTCTTTACTGGTTGCTGCCAAAGTCCTGACCAGCACCAGGAAAATGGATCATATTACAGCAGTTTTGAAATCATTGCATGGCTTCCTGTGTGTAAAAGCATTTATTTAAAATTCTGCTAATGGTTTAGAAAGCATTGAATGATCTTGAACCTGAATATATAGCTGACCTACTTGAGGGCTATGATGCTTCTAGACCTCTTAGGTCCTCAGGAACAGGCTTACTTTAGTATTGCTAGGGCTAGAACCAAACAAGGTGAGGTAGCATTTAGTGTTGTGGAATAAACTCCCCTCACACCTCCAGTGTGCAGAATCCATTAGTTACTTCAAATCAGGATTAAAAACGGTTTTGTGTAGTTTTTACATAAAATATACATTTAATTGTAATTATTGTAATTTTCTTTTTGTTCAAAGGTTAAATTTTACTTAAGTTGTTTCAGGTTTACCCTTGGTGTTGACTCTTGCCGTCGAGGGCTTTTTAGTTAATACTGAAATAGTTTTGCAGAAAGGAAGGGTCGAATATTTCTCTTAAAGTCTCTTGTGTTGCATCAGAAAATGTCTGTTAGGTGTTGCTTCTATAAGTCATTAATTTCAAGGGTTCTCTCACATTTCTGCTGCCTGTACGTTGAATAATTACTCAGTGTGTTCTATAAAGATGTGAAATATGGAGCGGTTTGTGGTGTTAGTTTAATCAGATTGTGTGCTTGTCTATATTTGTGACCCAGATGAAGATCATACCACCTTTCTCCTGTAAATCTGAGCTTTTGTGAAATATGTTCCAGAATCTTTTAATGAGTTGGACAACATTTGTGTGTTTGAAAGTACTTCTTTTGGAGCTTTTTGTTCAGGTATTTAGTTCTAATGACCACAGCATCCGCTCAGTATTTACTGCTGATCTCCTTTCTTTCTTTCTCAGAGAGTATGATAACCTCAAAGGAACTTTGAAAGCTTCAAATGATATGTGTGAGAAACTGAAGAGAGAAGTGCTGTCCTCAAACAACAAGGTCATTCGACATAAGAAGATCGCCTCACCAATAAGAAATGGGACTTCGGTGCGGAATCTTTGGGTTAAAGTGCTCTGTGGTGTTTGTCATTTCAGTTACAAAAAACTACAATAGAGGTGAATCAGACCAAAGAGGACATGAAGTCTCTGCAGAGCGATCTGGCCTGTGCTGACAAAGAAATCTCTGTAAGGCAGATCAAACAAATCTGTTTATTTGTTATGTCGGATGTGCGTGGTTGTGATTTCTGTGTGCAACCCGTCCACAGAGCCTGAAGAAGAAAGTGGAGTTTCTTCAGAAATCTCTGAGCACACCAACGAGGACTAACGAAGCCGTCAGTCGGCTCATCTTTGAAAGGTGCGTCTCCAGCTGTGGGACTTCAGTCTCCTCATGCTTTTGACAGGATGCTTAAGAATGCATTTGCTTTATGCGCTCACGCACTTGTTGCTGCCTTCCCGTCAGCCCTGCCCCACTGGAGCTGAAGCAGCCTCGCCTCCACCATCCAGCAGATAGCGAGGACATTGACCTCAACATGACCTACGACATCACTACGCCAGACGACGGGGCCAAGAGACCAACGCAGGTTCCATTGAAGAAAATGCGTCTCGATCCACCCGTGTAAGAGTCATGTCACTCAGTGCGGAAATGTTTTCTTCTGTGTTTAGAGTAGTTTGAAATCCATCTGCTCTTTTTGTAACAAAGTATAAACTGGAAGTGTTGATTTTTCAGAACGTCTGTATCCAAACACAGGGAGAAAACGTCAGCTTTAAGCAAGGTAGCCTTCTTCTAATAAATGCATCATTAAATAACTGATCTATATATAATTTGTTTTTAATTTTTCAATTAATTAATTTATTGTATTGTTTTATATTTATGTATTTTTGTTTCTCAGAATCGCGATGAAGATCTGGACCCTTTTTTAAGGAACTCCCTCCTCTTCAGGAAGAAAACCTTTGGCAGCATGTTGGAGCCTCAGAGGAAGCCTGGAGCTGTAAGTGTAGCCGACTCTCGCAAACTGTTTCCTTGTCCCATTTTGTCATCATCAGTGATTTGTTGAACAAAAAAAATGTTTTTGCGTTTCAGGTCAGAACTGGTTATGATGGATTAGGAGGACGAACTAAATTCATCCAGCCTGTATCCTTTTTGTCATTAGTGATTCTGCATGTGTTACTTGTCTTCTAGCGTTTGAGGTTCACTGAAGAATGTTTGATGTGTGTGTTTGTATATATGTAAGAGCCAGGGAGCACCGTCTGGCTTCAGATAGATGTTATTTATAACCACGAGATAAATGTAGGTCGCATCGATCCTTAACCAAGCGCTCCACCTCCAGTCTCCTTTGTCACAGATTCGTCCACTGATGAAAGCTAAAAGGAAAAAGGTAACACGGCCCCCATCCAAGACCGCCACTTGCATGACCCTGGACGACTTCCTCGAGTAAATTTTGGTGTCAGAGGTCAAGACACTGACTTCTGTAAAGAAGCATGTTGGCACTGCTCTAAAACCGAGAACCTGGCTGTGCGTTTTTTGATTTGTTTGTTTTTGCCACTCAACACCAAAAAAGCATTTGGGAATGAACTTTTATCTAAAAGAAATGACAAATGTTGGCATTTGGGTGAACTGCAAACCCTGCTCTACATTTATTTTATGTGCTGATATGAATTTGTTTGTGTAGGCAGTGTCTTGTGTTTTGAAGCCTCGTAGTTCTGTGGGAGTGTATTTGTTTGTGAGAGAGAAACAGCTACTTGAGAAATTTGACTGTGAGGGTTGCGATGATTATAAAATTCTGGGCCAGTGTCTAATGCGATACTTTTTTGTTATTTATCCCCCATTTGCTTTTCCAGTGTGGCAAACAAAAATCTTTATCATTTAAAAAAAAAAAAGTCTTTGAAATGCTTTGCTATTTTTCACCCTGTTTTCCCTGACTAACCTACATGGGGAGTTACTGTAGGTATTTTTTCTTTTAGATTTAATTGTCATGCTGGATGTAAACCAACTCAAATAATAAACAATATTTTTTTATTAAGATTCTTTTGCAATCGACAATTTCTTCTAGACTTTTATTCACAAACATGTCAATGACCTGGACTTCCCTGCAGAGGGCAGTACAAACAAGATTTTCTCACATAAGGGTATGAACCTGGCAGCCAGCCTGCGTCGTGAGTGATACTGCCTGCATGTGAGGAATGCTGAATCCATTTATATTGAAGAAGCCAGAACAACAGGAAAAGGCTAAAAAAAAACATCAGTCAAAACCTGAGTTATGCATCGTGGTCAAGTAACAAAAAAAAGAAAACAAAAAAACAGCGCTGCAAATAATATACTTGCAAAAACTAATAAAATAACATAAAATTGGGGCTTTTTGCTCATTCTGCCCCGTTTTCAATATCAAATGAATTTTAATGTTTGCAGAACTGGTGAAGATGGAGGACCTTTCATGGAACAACATCCAACGCAGCCAAAAGAGGTGAAGCTTGCTTGTGATGTTCCCGGGCATTAACATAAATGTAGCCTGTCTACAGCTTTGGCATGCAGCCCTCACAAACTGACCTTTATACAAGTTTGCTTGATATTTGGACAAACAATGTGGGGAAAATGCCAACCATTGTTTTCCACCGTGGAAAACTGAAAAGTAACAAGTACAAGATAATGCATCCTGTTCACAATCACTTGTATCCTTTGTGCACTCATGAACTCAGTTTCCAGAATAAAAGCAATTCATTCTCTGCCACAATAATTGCAGTGATAAGACTAATTAAATGCTGTGTTTCCTTAGTGACTGGATATTGATTTAGCTGTGAGTGATTATAGTTTTGTGGTTTGTTGTATCTAGCCCGGGGGGTCGTCATGACAGGACATGGTGGGGCATTTTAAAAGATACATCCTTCCAGTGCAAGCAGAAGAAAAGGTTACAACAGCCCATATAAATAGCATTCGTGTAAACGTAAAACACATAACCCATGCAGCCTGTGAACAGCGATGTTTCATTGAGGTTTGACAGAAGCATACATCTTACTGCCAAGCAAAAGTCTCCATTTAAGCTTAACTTTTTTTAATTGTCTTCCATTTTCATGTCAACACATCTATATGTAGATCATTCTGAAGTCCGTTCAAAGTGGCTCTGTATCTTTTCCATACCCCTGCTAAGCTGTCACATTTTCCCCATGATGTAGAGTGAGCCTTTCAGGTTTCTTTTGTGCTTTCACTTTCTGGACTATCTAAATAAGTATGAAAAGAAACATCATCCACAAATGTTTTTGCTGGTATTTCAATCCAAAATAAAAAGGGGGGGATTCAAAGAAGAAACACACACAATCCAGCCAAAAAGCTTATTTAAATGCTATTTTTTTCCCCACTCTTTGCAAACCATTTCTTTGTTGGCTTCAGTTGTCATTTTGATTCCCGTCACTGTGACCTGTCAGGCTCGACCTTGGACTCTCCGTTCTGTTTGTCGTTGGACTTCAGGGACAGGTGCGTGGTCACGGTAGCCGCCTGAACCACGGCTTTAAAGCTGCGCTTTCTCTTTTGGACGTTCTGCTCCGGGTGGAAGATGATGACGTAGACTTTGGGGATATAGAGCATGCCCAAGGATACGGTGGCGCTCAGGCTCATGGACACGGTCAGAGTGGTGGTTTGGATGAACATCTGCAACAGAGACGGAGGAGTTCAGAAAAATCCTTCCACACACACACTTCTGTGTCACTAAGAAAATTATAGATTTGTTTGTTTTGTTTTGGTGCTTTTAGCCTTTATTTGACGGTTTGCAGGAAAGAGGGGGAGAGAGGGCATTTCAGCCATAAGGCTTATAAGAGCGCCTGTTCAACCAGTAAGTTAAAGTAGTGCCCATAATGATTCATTAATTATGGAAAAAGTGGCTGGCTAATCAAACTTGCTAGCTTTAGCCGATACTACTTCACCTTCACGTTCAAATTCTGGCACCAAAAAGCCCAACATGGTGTAGTCAAAACACAGAGTCCAGAAATCCATAGGTGAGCTTGCCATGGCTATATCCATTTGTTATATACAGTCTATGGTAATATATTTCCAATACCGCAATATAATTTATTTTAATAACCCAAAAAATATTGTTGGGCGCAATAATTTATACATAAACGCAAAACAACAAGATGTCTTGTTGCATCTACTCGCATTTTCCAGTAGGTGAGCAAGCACATTTTTTAATTTAATTAAATTTTATTATATTTTGGTGTTCTGACCCACAAGAGGAAGCAAAGGGTCAAAGTTGAATGCCCAATGGAGGTGGTGTGTCCCAATTTCATGCATACTGGATGCAGCAGCAAGGATAGTTTGGAAAGCAGGGTACATGTAATCTCCGCTGTCACAATGCAGTCCTTACAATTTTCATCTCAAAGCAGGGAAGGCAGTGTTTTCCCCCTGATGAATGATTTATGATCTAGTATATGAAGTCAGGAAAAGAGCCTCTATTTATGGGCTTTGACCACATCTAGCTCCTCTTCCTCTTTTTTTCCTTTTTTCTTGTTTTGCATGCATCCGACAATAATCACAGTGAGCGACTTCTTCTGAGATCTGCCTTCAATGAATTATAAAAAAAAACCCTCATTATTCAAGAAAACTAAACAGGTCATAAATAAATAAAACCACAAGTATCATAAATAAGAAATGTTTTGTGCCATAAATAGGTCGCAAGTTGCATAATATCCTCAGCAGCAACACATCCTGGCTCATGTCCATATAGTACAGTTCCGTTTATCATCTTTTCACATGTGTTTGTCCCTGTAGTGACATCTCCCTTTATGAACGGAGCTGTTTACTGTTTAGGAGTGAAGTGGACTGTAGTTATGTGGCCCGAGCAGAAGGACTAGCTGAGAATCACTGTATGGTCCTTTCATAGGTAATTACAGTCATCACAGGTAGATCACCTCCTCCAACATGTGATGGGAGCATAACAGCCGCTACTTTCATGAGCCAGACAAAAGTTAAGGTCTATATTTAGCTCTTTTTCTAAGTGATGATTAATTGAATGGGATGGCTGAATTGGTCTTGGAGGGCTTCTTATCCCTCTGCACATCTGACCTCCTTTCCTTTTCTTAATTCACTTCATTTCCATTTGGAAGAGGTGAAAAGACTTTGAAAGCACCTCAGGCAGTAATTGTTTCAGCCTGACTGGTTCATAATACAGCTCTCTATTAGCCAAAGCCCGTCTCTATTTTTCAAATATCCCCCCCAACTGTCTTGTACTTTGTGACGGCAGCAAATAGCCCACAAGCTAAATGAAACCCTCAGTACAGTGGGAGCAGGATGTCCTGCGAGTACAGCAGGAAGCAAATACGATATGACAGGCAACAAACTCAAATTTCACTTTCAGCATCTGAGGGATTCATTTACTTTCTTACAGTTCGTGTGTTACTGTGCATTACGTAACTCGATTCAGCATACTGTTTATTTTAACTGTAAGTGGAGCTCAGGGAGTGCTTATGTAATGTAACGAGATTTAATTATGATCTTGAAAAAGATCAAATTTGACTATGCAGAAGAATTTATTGACCGATCATTTAGTGGGTCAAATTATTTCTTTTAATTTCTTTTTGTCCCAACCCAACACAAAGAGCAGCCAGAAATAATTCAGCTATTCATTTGTCCTTTTAAAAAGTGACATTTTTACTAAACAGATTTATTTTTGAGCTGAAGCTGTTAAATCAGTCTCTGAAAGTCATCATCTGAAAATTTCCTGCTATTCTTTGTCTCATATAAAAGTTTTTGTTTTTGTTTTTTCTTGCCTCCAAAAACTGTTGGCCTACTCCAAAGAGGTTGTTAAAATTTCCTGAAAACACAATCATCAGAACTGTAAAATACCTTTCATTATTATTATTAATATTATACATAATAAATTGCCATCTTCAACCAATTGAACACATTGGATTTGTATCATCAAATCAAAAAGCCACAAGTTATACTCTATTATAATTCATAACTTTACTTTAAGTAGATGTACAAAGTGATAGCAGCAACACAAATAAAATTTCACATCTAAAAATACTCGCTGGCCCCAGAAATTATGATATTACCTGTGATGCAGTTATGTGCGAGTAGGTTGTTGTACTCAATTTCAGGAAAACCTAGTTGCGTCAAGTTCATTGTTTTTATTTTTCATATTTCAAAATAAATAAATAAAGGCAGACAAATAAAAGCACTGATGTTATAGGTACAATATTTTATCTAAATATCGTGGAGTTTTTAATCTCTTTTTTTATTCTCTAATAAATCACCAGATCATTTTCTCACCTAATTGATTTATATTGTCAGACCAAAATCCATATAAATTTGACAGGATCTAAAGGGGGAAAAACAGGAAATTTTTCACATTACATGCTTTACATAAAGTAAGCAGGTAAGAATTCATTAACCAGTGATGTCAACTGAATATTCAGGTAATCAAAACTTCACTCTCAGGATATAAAACTTGTTGGCCAGTGGTGGATGTTTTAAGGCTGTAGTTAACCCTCCTGCATAATTCACTTGTATTCCATTTATCAGCATTTTTCACGTCATTGTCATTTGGAAGTAAAATGCCCCTCCCTCAAAGTTTATTTTTTCTCTGTGCCGGCCTGCTTTCCGTTGCCAGACTTTCTCTGACGTTTGGGGGTGTATGCTCTCCACATTCACAGTAGCCTCTTCCTGTTTATATGAACATTTTCAGAATTTCTGAAACCATGCACTGCCCTTGTTACATTTCTTACCTTCTCTGTAGACTGCGCTGTGCCAAAGAAGATGGGTACAAAGGCCAGCCAGATGATGCAGGTGGTGTACATGGTGAAGCCGATTGGTTTGGCCTCATTGAAGGTCTCAGGAACTCCTCTGCTTTTAATGGCATACACCGTGCAGGTGATCATCAGTACAATGCTGTAGCTCAAACACAGTATGAGGGACAGGTCGGACATGTCGCACTTGAGAATTCCACGGGCAAACTCTGGGTTTGGAGGCTTCTGCTCTTCATAGTCAATGATGGTGTGTGGGGGGATCACACCAAACCAGATGAACACCGCGAG